TTGCAGAATTGTGTTAGATTCTTGGAAGAAAAAAGACCAGGACAACAGCCCTTTATCCATCTTCTGACAGCATGGTGGACAGATACAGTAATTTACTGTTAAATCAGTTAGGCATGTATGTGGAAGTACATCAAAAATTATGTTGTGAGAGAAAATGTTGAACATTCTGTACTTAAATTCAAAGGATAATCATCCAGCAGATTCTTATACAGAATATGCAGAGGGCTAAGGAACACCACAGGTCATACATGACTCTGCCCTGGAAATATTTAAATGTTGCTATGATGTTAATTCTGATAGATTGTATTCCATCAAGGTGACATATTATGGATGGCTGTAAAATCCCTGCCATAAGAAAGGAAAAACTCCAAAGTTAAACATATATTTGGAAAAACCATATGTTGTACAGTAAAGAATCAATGATATGGCTTACGGAATTCAAAAGCCAAATATCATCCACCATGATTATCTTTGGAAGTATGTGAATCTGGTAATTTCAGAGAAGAATTTGCTTGTGGAAAGTCGACATGCAGAAAAGCCCAGAGATTCTGTAGAGCCCAGTTCCAGAGGATTATGAAAGATAGAACCACCAGTGGATTTGCTCAATCACTTATTGAGGGATAAGAGGCCATCCCATCTATATACCATAATCCTCAGAATAGAAAACCACTAAAAGAGACTTGGTTAATGGACAACAATCTATTGTATTGTTTCAATTATGTATTAGTATTGTTCAAGGGACTTCACAATCCAGAAAGGGGACAGTGTTGTAACATATATTTTCATTGTTTCAATTTAGATCTAGAGGGATCTAATTATTATTATGATGCAATATAATTAGAAAATTGAATGTGATATAAATATCGAGAAGTTTCGTGCAATATTTATAGAAAAAGAGTACGATTATAAGTAAGAGAATCAGTTAATGAGTCGATTGTGAATATGAAGTTAAGGAGATATTGGCGATTGTTTCAGCTCAGTGTTTGTAGGGAGATTTATCGCAATTATTCAGTTAATTTATCATTAGCAAGGAAATCCTAAAAGTTATTTGCAAGTTAGACGTAGTTACCGTTAGACGAAATAAAGTACTTCGTTATGGTTACGTGGTCTGGATTTGGCATTACTTTTACCAAATAATCTAAGATAATCCGCCCAACGATAGAACACATTACACCACCTTGTAAATTAACCACATAGAAATGTAGTAAATTACTAACACAAAGTAAGTGAAATGTAATGTTAGTATAATTGAAAAGTTCAACGCATTAAATATGTGAAAATCTAATATTTTGAATAATTTATAACTATACTGAATATATTTGTTAATGTTTTGTATTCATTAAAACATTTTTTTTGTGGTCTGGCAACATATACTTTTTATCTGTTTTACTTCGAATTAATTTTTGTAGAATCCAATGGATTGGCAAAATTACTGTTAAAATGAACTAAGCAATGACAACAAAAGCATCCATTAAGATCATGTTTATTCTTGTGCATACTCAATTATAAATGTACAAGGAAGTTCTAACAACGGTTTGGTGAATAAAATGAAGAATTTAAAGACATATCAAAGTTTAACCCTCAGAGCAAAACAGAATTTAATCACAATTTCTAAACAGACTGGGAATGTTTCATTAAAATCGTCTTATTGTTGAACCATAATAACTAACAAAATATTTGTATTCTATGAAAATAACCCCTTCGACTAGCTTATATTATTAATAGATAAATAATTAGTAAACAACCTGACACACTCAAATAATATATATTGCTTCAGAATGTTTTCAATCCACAACTTGATGCGTATTTTATTTTCTAGGAACATTAAAGTCGGGTTCCCTATGCAACAGTTATGTGCAAAAATAAAATTATGCTGAATGAGCTTTAAAAAACGTTTATAGATGGCGCTATCATGATATTAGTAGATGGTTCTTAAAACCTTCAAAGGGAAATCGTTTCCAAACCTGTTATTTAATATTGCTTAGTCTCAAAACTATCGCAGCTTTCCTATGCCATGTCATTAAAAAGGATGAGACTTTCCTAATAAATTATTTGCCTCAAGTTTGACATGATGCTTCTTTCACAAATAACTCTGAGCAAACCCATTCTTGTAAAAGTGAAACTAAGGTATTTCAACAAACCTATGATTTACCGTATTTTTTCGGTGTATAAGACGCACTTTTTTTTACCCCAAAATTTTATATCAAAATTAGCTTGCGTCCTATACACCGAAGGTATGAACAATATATATATACGATATACACAAGCCATGTGTGTAAATATATTTAAATAGGCATGCATAGTTTAGTTCAATTGAATGTGTTATCTATAACAATAGTAGTTTTATAACTATTTATAATGCTCCCTAAATAATAAAAAAATAAATTACAGTGAAAGCAATGAAGATTTTGTAGGTTTTGAACCAAACTAAATAACAGTAAACCTTTTTTTTGATTTACGGTATTTTCTTATGTTGATGTTTTGAGTTCTTTTGTGTTTAGAACAATATATACTAATTTTTAAAGTATCAAATTGAATTTTTGTTCAATAAAAATCTTTCAAATGCGACTGTAGCTTTTTTCCCCCCAAAACTTTGTCTTAAAAAAATACGGTATAACTGTTTTCTTGTTTAATGTTAAGCACAAAGGTACACAATTGCGGATCTGTGATGTTTCCACCACGGGTATCAAAACACGGTTTTTAGCGTTAAAAACCTTCAGACTTACTGCTGAACCACTGGGGGACAGAATATAAATAATATATCATTGTCTCCCAAACAGTGAAAAACACGAAGAAAGTTTTGCTTTTCTATAATTTTGGTTAGAAAGTCCAACTTGCGTGGTTTCATCTTTAAGCTGTTCAAGAGTATAATACATGCGATTGATACGTATCTCATTAATATCTACATAGTTGGATTTATTATTAATATTATTGATAAAGTAATATTATTATTATTCCCTAAAGACTTGCAATCAATAAGGTACTACTTGTACCTTTTTCTAAGAGCAGCTTTATCGGTTGCTTCAGTATGATAAGGAATGTATATCAAGAAAGATGATTTATCAAATTATAAGTATATATATATTTAATAGGAATGGTGACAACAGCAATTCTCTGATGAAATAATTCACTTTGAACTAATCACATTTGCTCTTGTATTTTGAATGTGTTATCTGGAAATTGCGCTCAGGATATGCAATCCCTCTTTTCATGTTCCCGAGTTTTACTTTTTAAGGCTATCCTGTATACTGTGCATATTTTTAATCGGTTAAGGAATACAACTACACTGTAAGTTCATAACATCCATTTTTATATCAGCGATTTAAGAATATTAGTCTGAACTGAAGACAGTTAGTATTAACTATACAAATAGATACTAAATCAATATTTGATATAAATATAACAATAATCCATTTAACGTTAGAGTGTTTTATCAACTTACGGAGAAAGATAGGATAAATGAAAGCAACTAATAATACAATTTATTCATGCAATACCAAATCTCTGTCTTTAACGAGCTTATTAAAGAGCAAAAAATATCAGATAAAACAAATTAAACCGTTTTGATCACAAAAGGTTAATTTAACAACATTAACGTCAAAAGAATCTTTAACACCATGAAGATTATGACACATTATATAAATAAAAGAAAATTATCACAAAATTATTTTGATTTACAATTTCAAACAAGCTTCACAGCAATATTTTACAGTGTAAAACTTGTTAGATTTCATAATCATGTTAATCACAGGCTAAGTAAAAACGTAGGCAATAATTCAGTCTAGTATGTTACCATACTAGAAAGTCGTGTTCCTCAACAATAATTCATTTCGTACTTTATAATGTGACTTTCCTGTCGTTTCGCACCCTTCCAATAATTCATTTAGTACTTTATAATGTGACTTTCCTGTCATTTCGCACCCTTCCAATAATTCATTTAGTACTTTATAATGTGACTTTCCTGTCGTTTCGCACCCTTCCAATAATTCATTTCGTACTTTATAATGTGACTTTCCTGTCGTTTCGCACCCTTCCAATGAATAATTTTGGAATTTTAAATCAATAAATAATAACTTCAATACGAGTACTTTGTAATTTGGACATCTACACAATAAACAAAAGTACAGGAAAGGGAAGATACTGTCAAACAGATTTTACGTGACCTTTCAAAACTGTTAAAATTAAATATTGGACGCAATTTAGTCGTTCATCATTGACAATCGAAGTTATAACAGTTTCACTACTTGGAAGAAAAACATACTAAACGACAGTAAAAGTTTCTGGACGGCATGTAAAAAGGGGCATGAACATAAGTTCAAAATTACAATGTTACACGAGACTTTACAATGTTACACGAGACTTTACAATGTTACAGAATGAATTTTAGGATAAGTATATTATCGATGATATAATACGTTGTTATTTACAAATTTAAAAAAAGCACCTTCTTTACTCTGCTATTATATATCTTGTGCTGATATATTTAACGCCTCGTCTCTGTATTTCCTACACCCTGTGCTGATATATTTAACACCACGTCTCTGTATTTCCTATACCATGTGCTGATATATTTAACGCCTCGTCTCTGTATTTCCTACACCCTGTGCTGATATATTTAACACCACGTCTCTGTATTCCCTACACCCTGTGCTAATGTTTAACGCCTCGTCTCTGTATTTCCTATACCATGTGCTAATGTTTAACGCCTCGTCTCTGTATTTCTTACACCCTATGCTGATACATTTAACGCCTCGTCTCTGTATTTCCTATACCTTGTGCTGATATATTTAACGCCTCGTCTCTGTATTT